ACCTCATGATCATGTCTTTGTGATCAGCGCCTAGCGATCTAGACGGGGATCGAAGTTTGAATTAAAGAGTGGCTTGCCTATGTGATCACTTCGATGTGGCATGGATTATACGGTATAGTAATTATATTTAGACAAAATATTTGTAGAAAAGAAAAGCCAAAGTTGCAACATAGCAAGATTTACGTCCGGGACGATTTCGCTGTATCTCAACATGGTGCATACTGCAGAACGATATTGTTTATATAAGTTCATGTAAAACTATTATGTTCGACAAATAGGGAAAATTACAATAGCCAAGTTACATCACCATGGTAAAAACATATTAATAAAGAGCTGTTTCTGCTGACATCATATAGGTTTCCATCGATGTATGGCAACAGCTTCAGCAAACCTCAAAAGCCTGGTATCCCTTGCCACGTAAATGACCCGAAACTCAGCGCTTCGGTCAGCTGGATGTTGCGTCATCAGATGACGAGCGACGGCCGACGACGAGATCTTATGGTTTCGAACGTTGTCATTATGCCTTTGATCTGACCCTGATTCTATCACAAAACGTTGTACCCAATTTGGAATGTGTTCAATCACTCGGTTACGTAACTGCCGCTTTGTTTGACCCACGTTGGTTGCTCCGCAAACAAACTGAAATGGGTAAATCAAATTCGATTTGGTGTACAGAAATGGACGTTGTTTCACCGAGGGTGTGGGGATCTTATTCGTTCGATGAACAATTCTGAGGTCAGCTGCATAATATTTGTGGCTTTTAATAGTTTCTGCATTCGTTTTTTTCACACAGCTTTTTTCTCATAGTCATTTCTCATATATCATATCATATTGTCTCTACCCGTATTTTGATTCATGTGGAAATGACCTGCGCGTTATTGACAATAGGATTGCAGTACAAATATACATCACTCTTGCTTGTGCCTGGTTTTGAAGGATACCAAACTGACCTGCATCAGAGGCAATCAATAGCAATGTAACTGATCTGACTCCAGTGATCTACGAGTACTGGAGATGACCACCTTAGTCAGCGTCACGAGAAATTCGCACTAGCTGGGAATATTATGTTGTCAAAGCGTACCTGGATCGGTCGACCACCAATATGGGTTCAGTCAGCTCGAACGGCATATTGGCCTTCCATGAGCATTTTTGTCTTGGTTAGGACCTGGACGTTGAGCACTGACAAAACGGCACCAGTCTCTATAATCTTAGAGCATACGCTGCAGAAAATTTGACACAAATCATGATAAAATATCTGGATATCTGGATTCAGGAGAGTTACAGTGATGAATTTCAAACAAGTAGTGATGTGCCAGTCTTTTGTGGTTGACGCGCACGAAATCACACAGCTAAATAGCAAACAGACCATGGCTCGGTGGAAGGCATTTGAACAGTCAATTTACAGTTTTCATGCATAGAGTGATGACAAGGACAGTTTCAATATAAGCACGAGTTACCACATCGATGGGTAAATTAACAAACCGAGTTTTTCTCAGGAGACTGACAATGGGTCTTGCATGCGTGTTTTGGAGAAACAAAACACATCCATTTCAAAGGATCTGGGTAGGAATAATTACTAATGTTTTCAGCAAAATGTGTGGAGGTCGAGTGCAGCCTGAGCTATGAAAATCGGTTCTCCAGTTTTCTTTATCACTAGGTTATTATCCTAACCATAACTCATAATTTTCTGGGTCGAAGTTCTTTTTGGATCGTTTGGGATTTGAAAGAGAAAGACGATAAACAAGCAGATAGTAAATGTTTTCTCAAAAACCACCAGGAACATTTCGATATAATATATTTCTATGGGAACGGTAACCGAAGATTTAGACTACATAGTCTGACTCACAAAGCAATGTGGCACCAACCCAGCACAGAAACGTGACGAAAGCGCAGTTGAAAGAACTTCTGGACAAATATCTGAGACCAGGTTGTTGTTCTTACACTTTGTTGTCTTCGCTGGTACTTTATTATCTGTCTGATTTTTGGAATTGGTGCTCATCACTAACCTGAACGTTGAAGTAGCCATCAACTCAGAACTTGCGGCTGACCAGCTTAGGCTGGAAATAACTGCCTAATGAAGTGTAATATATAATCATCGTTGAGTAGAACTCTAAGAACCTCTTTCCTGCATTTATCTAGTAAAAGTATTTTGGATAGCCGACCGTTTCTGTCACCGTGTTCATTTGCTAGATTGTCGACTTTGATGGAATAGTGGCAGAACCAAAGGTTGGTTCAGGGAGACTTGATCTCAACTGCTGTCTATATGCCTTACTATTTTGTTCACGAAAGCACACTTCAGGACACCAAACCAAGGAGCACCTTCATTTTATGGCTATCGCTTGATACATAGGAGATATAGTCACCGATTGATAGGTCAAGAAACAGCTATGGTCTATGTCGACAATTCATAACACATTGAGAGATAGTCATTCATTTGGGAACATCCGGAAGATTTGTGATGAATAATTACTAACTGAATATTTATGCTTCGGCGAAAATCCAAGCTTGACTAGTGTGATGACAAAGTTTTTTGTTTATCTTCCTAATTGCGTTGGGTTCTGTGCACCGCTCATATTCGCGATAGCGACCTCTAGTTGGTAATTGGGTTATTGTTTCACGTGTGGTACCCCAGCAGTTGTCTTGTGCCATTCAGTCCCACAATCCAGTAATTCTGGTCTCCATTTTTTTCGGCAGTTTTGAACTGTGGTCTTTCAAAGGAGCACAAAACTGCGATTTTCCTTAATTTCGAAGAGATCAAGGAATTGGTGCTTGACCGTGTTTACTCTAAGAATTGAACTATCGTAGAAAGAGCGGAATTATGTCAACTCCAGTGCGGCGACTCACAGGATACTTCAGCATTTATTCCTCAGGTGCCGGGAGGAGTCTGTCGATGTGACTTCAGTGATCAGCCTGAAGTTGAACTCCGTGATTACTTAGTTAAAGACAATAACTGCTCCCGAGTGCAACAAATCTACCGATTCTACAATCTCTGTTACAGAGTGTGCGTTCTGTGTATTCGGACAATACACTGATTTGAATGAACTTCCTTATACTACTGCCACAGTTATGCTGTGTTTTATTTAGGAAGTCAAGCTATGTGTTTTCAGTACCTTCAAATTCCATTTTAAATCTGGCTACTCGTTTCCGTAAGCAGAACTTTGCACGCACTAGATGTTCTATGATCAATTTGTTTGATATGCGTGAATCTTGAGCCAAATTGCTTTTCCTAATGATGTGTTACTTTTGAAGGTAACATAACCCCAAATGGGATATATTCGGACCGCGTGCATACAATCAACCATTTCATTTCAAATCTAGATCGGAATCTTTTGAAAACCTCTCCCAACATCTATCCCTCGGTGACGGATTCAATTCACCGACGAATTACCCGTTCGTTTCTCACTGGTCATTTTGGACACTGGCATTGTCGAGTCGTTCGTTTCCATAGCTGTACTGTGTCCTGCTGTTCGCAATGTTAAATTGAAACAAACTGATATTGTCATCGAGGGAGTCACTAAATATACCTAACTTATCTAGGTCTCGTGTATTGCTCCAATAACTGATCACGCGGGATATTCCTTTCACCACACCATCATCACTATTGAGAAAAAACCTTCAGCATTTGGTTTGAAGCTCAATAAAAATAAAAACATTTATATTTCTCTGTTATCACAGAAGCACATAATCAGTCATATGATTGAACTCTACGGTGCTTTGACACGTGCGAGTGTAATCAAAAGACCTCGTAATGTTGAATGTTGTCGAAGATCTCGATTGGAAGCGTTCAACACCTATTTCTGGACTTTGTGACTTATGAAGGGGGTACCCCTGTCGTTCATCAGATGAAATCCAGTGGGCAAACTAATAGAATCGTGATGAGTATTGCGTCACTTTTAATACAAGGCTCCGTCAGCTTACATGCACCATTGTGGGACCAGAGTTTATACTGTCTCCCTTTCAAAGCTTCAACCACGTCTAACCTGAAAGATACGAACCTACCAATTACGTTGAATGTAATTCTCACGAGTTCACTGCTTTCCTTGTAGTTCAGATTACATGCCCAGTGAAATAACGTTATTTCGTTTACTTAAACTATCGTTTGAATATACTGGCTACTGATGAACTGCTCATTTGCACCAATCACGTACACACATGATCGTGAAGTGTTACCATAATTTGTACTTGTATGTTTCGCTTATTTCCATTTGCTTTGTTACTTGTGATATAGTTGTAGTGGTTGAAGTGACCGAACTGAAATCCAAACACACTCGAATTGGTACTGGAATGTACTGGTTCTCTGGTATACACAATACTGCTTTCACATGGGCATGATATATGTAAGGGAAAGCATATGCACACAGTTCCATGTGTTATCTGATTGGTAGACACTGATTTATAAACTGCTGTCAAGCAATGTGAACGTGGAACATGCGCGCGAGACATGCGTACTATATCCAAACGATATCCACCATGTCCGCATAATATCGAAGGTTTCTCTAAGATGAGTCATAGGGGTTCGGTGAATTCGGGTGTGTGTGGGAATTCACGGGCGATGATCGGAGTGTAAACTGGTTGGGTCAAATGGGATTCCTCGTATTTCATGAGATTACAGTAATCTTGTTTGTTTTCGTATCCTACATAGTTTTCGATCATGCATCAGTTCCGAAGTAGCAAACGATATACTCCACTGCTCTGTCAGAGGTACTAATACTCCAGTGGGTCTGTATAGATAAATACTCGTAACATTGCACTCGGTGTTCCTCCTACACCTTTTCAGTCTGTTTCGAATTATGCCAAAGAAGAACTGGAGGGGGTACAATGCTATCAGAATGATGTCAATATCCGTGAACCCACATAAAATCTATGATAACAGAGCTATTACGGCATTTTTGCTAGTTTGATGCTGAAATTGACCCATACGAATGCATATACAAATCACTTGATTTTATTGGATGACACATTTTAGATTTGATCCCTGCATTGTTGCTTCTTTAGTGTACCTAAATGATCCTCGAAATGTTGCTGATCCTCATTCTCCTGCTGCACACATTCAACTTGATCCGGTTTTCGTTGAAAATTTGGCCTCTTCCGGGACATTCAATTTTGAGGCACTATAATTCAATTATTTTTCGTCAGCCGAGCAGGATTATTTCCTGTATTTTGTTATACAAAACCTTAAAACGAAAAACATCTTTCCATTCATTCACTCTCAAGTTACAGTTCTGTGAGGTTGGTAAGACCTTACCTCGGGGTTTCCTCAGTAAACGCGTGCTTCGGTCCTTTGTACTGCGTGGACCACCTGCACGTTACTCTAATGCTCGGCACTGTACGAATATGTTAACCAGAACAGTATTCTCCACGACCCGTGAGAACGAGATGGCGATTGGGAGAGATAGTGGTTAGCGTGTATTTGGGATCGTGCAAGAGAGCGTGCGTAAGAGCAACGGTCAAATGGAAACCGCGCTTGGCAGTCAGCGTTCAGTTAAACAATAAACGTGGTAAAAGTATGGACGAAGTTGGCCACCGCTACAGGGGCCTCCTCCCAGAAGTCCGACGGAGTTGAGCTTCAATCGTGGCGATAGGCTGGAAGTATTGATTGTCTAGGAACTCCTCGTAGCTTCCACGTTATACTGTTGGTGACGTCGAACGACTGCTGATGAGTTTAACGGTGCCTGCACTCCCGAGGTCAGATGTACGTCAATGTAACTGTGTTTTGGCGCCCACGGGTCTCATATGCATGCGAGCCTGAAGATACCGCGTCAGGTCCATCAAAATGTGTGTCCAGTTGTCGTCTCCGGTACCACGCTGATCAATCGTCCCGTTGTCCAGTGAGTGGTTGGCTCTTTGAACGTTCATGAGAGTCAGCGAGGCTACGGGTGAATCCAATGTGTCTGTGCAAATCCGTCTCAGTGAGGGCAACGTAAACTGGAAAAAAATAGCGCCTGAGGCCGCCGGCGGATGTTGGACCGTAAACCAACACACGAACGATGTTCTGTGTTGTTGTAATCGCTAGTAGACCAGAAGAGAACGAAATCATAACTAACGATTGTCATTTCTCGGGCCTGATGGTTGGTAAATCCATGGTGAATTTCCCAACTTATTGCTAACAATGGGTTGTAAAAATCGTCACGAAATCGGCGAAGCGGACGGGATTTCGTAGTTGGCGACCGAGATGGCAACTTCGCGTTGCGGGTACGGTTGTAGAATCTGATGGACTAGCTGCCGAGTCCTCACTAGGCGTAATTGGGGTGGTTCGAGTATTAATTCGCTCGATGCGGGTGACTGAGCGGCTTGAGCAAGTGTAAATTGGCCGGGCGGCTCACACTTTGTGACAGCAGGCTTGAGACGGCCGATAGATACGGTGTCGTGTCGTCCGCTGATGTCTATGACAAATGTTTTTGTCCTACGTTTCATCACCCGAAACGGGCCAGTGTATGGCGCTTGTAGTGGTGATCGAACGCCATCGACGCGAAGGAATACATGAGTAGCGATTTCTAACGCAGTTGGGACATAACTGGTAGACTGTTTTTCGCGCAAGGGAATGGCCTTGAGCACTCGCATGTGCTGCGTAAGGCGCAGCATAGTCGCCGTAGTCGAAAGTCACGGTTGGTGAAAGGGCTACTAACTCCCCAGGCAGACGAAGTGTACAGCCATATACTAGTACTGCCGGTGTTGTGTGTATTTCATCCTTAACAGTACTACGCAGGCTTAAGAGTGCTAATGGTAGTGTTTCACTCCAAAGGGGGTTACCGTTTGCTCGAGGGGCGGCTTTTAATTGCCGGTGGAAACGCTCAACCATACCATTGACCTGAGGGTGGTAAGCTGTCGTCTTAACGTGTTGGCAACCAAGCGTAGCGAGTAGGCTGCCGAAAGCGTCGTCAAAGTGTGGACCACGATCGATGGTCACTATTGCTGGCCAACGGAAATGACTAACCCAACCGGTCAGAAAGGCTTTCGCGGCCTCTTCCGACGTGGGACGAGGTTTAGGAATGGCCTGCGGCCAGCGAGTAAAACGATCCACGCATGTGAGTATGTAAACGTACTCAAGCGAAGGTTGAAGTGGTCCTACGAGGTGGACGTTCACATGATAAAAACGTGTTTCAGGTTCTGGGAACCTGACTAACACCGCCTTAGTGTGCCTATGGGTCTTAACACGTTGACACTGCAGACAAGCACGAGCCCATCGACGGACATCTCGTTTGACATTGTGCCAAACAAAACGCTCAGTCATCAGTTTCGACGAGGCAGTTACACCCGGATGGGCCAGATTATGGAGTGTCAGGAAAGTAGGAACACGGTGGGCAGCAGGAACTACCGGCCTAGGACGACCTTGCGACACATCGCACACGATAGTATTCTGGGAAGTTGAAATAGGTAATGTGGTTAAGATCAAAGAACCGTTTTGTCGAAGTTGTTCGATGTCAGGGTCCATAGTTTGGGCCTGCGCCATTGCGTCCAAGTAGATGTTAGGCGTCGGTGACAGACTTAGTTGATGTACGCGTGATAAGGCGTTGGCGACGGGATTAAGTACCCCAGAGACGTGTCGTATGTCCACAGTAAACTTTGAGACAAAGCCTAAGTGGCGAATCTCGCATGGTGAGTATCGATCGGAGGCTGAATTTAGTGCGTAAACCAAAGGCCTGTGGTCTGTAAACACCGTAAACGAACGGCCTTACAGTGCACGTCAAAAACGACGGATTCCCAAGTAGATGGCTAATAACTCCCTACCAAATGTGTTGTACCTAGATTCGGCGGGTTGTAGGCGCTTGGAGAAGAATGCTGAAGGTTGCCAAGAATCGTCTATGAACTGTTGCAATACTGCTCCAACCGCTGTGTCCGAGGCATCCGTCACTACCGAAATAGAAGCCAGTGGGTCGTGGTGGTTAAGGAGTGCTGTTTTGGCGACAGCATCTTTGACCGAGGCAAATGCGACTTGTGCCGTGTCGGGAAACACGAACTTCCGCTTAACTTTGCTCAACAGGTCGGTGAGGGGTTGCATTGTTTCCGCACAGTGAGGAATAAATCGGTGGTAAAAATTCACCAGGCCGGCAAAAGGACGCAACTGGCGAAAATATTGGGATTCAGGGTAGTCGCAAATAGCGAAAACTTTATCTAACAGAGGGCGAATACCCGAGGATGAAACAGAATGCCCTATGAAAGTGATATCAGACCGGCCGAATTCGTATTTCGCGATATTGATCGGGACGCCGTGCTGGCTAAGACGTTCGAAGTCTGCTCGTAAGTGTGGAGCGTGCTCTTGCTCTGAAGAACTAGCCACCAAAATATCATCCATATATACGTGGACAGTTTCCAAACCACGAGTTGCCTCGTGCATGAAACGTTGAAAGGTCTAGGCTGCATTGCTGAGTCCAAACGGCATTCGCAGAAACTCGAACAGCCCGAAAGGCGTAGTGACGGCAGTTTTAGGGATATCAGCCTCTGCTACCGGGATCTGGTTGTACGCACGAACTAAATCGATACGGCTGAAGACGGATCAACCTGATGAAGACGAAGTTAGATCCTGTATATGGGGAATTGGGTATCGGTCAGTGACGGTGACTTTGTTAAGTGTTCTGTAATCACCAAAGAGTCGCCAGTCGCCGCTAGACTTAGGGACTATATGAAGAGGGGAAGCCCTAGGGCTACTAGAAGGGCGTTTTATACCCAGTTCTAGCTTGTGTTCGAATTCAGCCTGTGCAACACGAAGCTTGTCTGGTGCTAACTGACGCGACTTACTGAACACTGGGGGTCCCTTAGTATCGATATAGTGAGTGACGTTGGTGGTCTTTGCTGAGCAAGGCCCGGCCTGCCGAAACATGGCCGGGTAGGCGGCGATGAGTTTGCCATAAGGTCGGTGTGCCGGTGGTTGAACGTAAAAAGGCGTGACTTGATTCACTCGCGAATTATAACCCGCAAGGGCGAGATTGGTCTGACGATCCACCACTCCGCGACGCTGTGCATCAACTGACAAGTTAAAGTGTTGCAGGAAGTCAATGCTTAGAATTGGGTACGGGACGTCGGCGATGATGAAAACCCAACGAAAATTACGCTTCAAACCTAAGTTTAAGGGGAACGAACGCTGGTCAAACGTTGGGATGGCCGTGCCATTGGCAGTGCGTAGTGTTTGGGCCTCCGATATGCTATTGTCGCCTTTCGGTCGGAGGAGGACGCTCACTTCGGCACCGGTATCTACAAGGAATAGGTTATTTGAAATGATGTACCTTACGTTCAAAAGGCGACTGTTGGTCTGATACCCGGCCTCGTGATTCGCCACCATGGGCCGGGGGGTTAGTTTCCCTGATGAGCACCGGGAAACGTACACCCTGGTTCGCATCGTTTGGCTCCCTTACCGAAGCGACTGTAGTATTTACAATACCCTTCTTTTGAAGAACCAAAACGTCGTCGCAATGACGGACTATATAGCCTAGGTGAGCGTGCGGGGTGCCACTCCTGTGACCCACTTCTTCCTACTGCTAAGCGTTGCCGGCTAGAGTTAATTCTAGACAAAACTGAGGTGAGGTCGTTAGATGTTTGCAAGGCAGGCACCGTTGTGACGGTAGACCTGGTTACTCCAGCTACAGCGGGGTTGTATCGTGACCTAATGTCATTCGCCATCGCTGCACTTTCCTGCAGCGAACATTTGCGTGTAGCACTTAGTAAAACCGGAATGTTTTGCGGCAAACGCTGCAGCCAAAGTTCTCTTGAGAGCGGGTCCTCGCCTACCACTGGTCCGCTCAAGCGCTGCCTCTCACGCAGCAGTTCGGAGGGCTTCCTGCTTACAAGCTCAACGTTTTGAAGTTGTTGTATACGTTGGTCCTGCGTTGGAGTCGTGCGGGCAATGACGGCCTCCTTCAAAGCCTCGTAGATTTGGTAAGAGATTGTTACGTCCCTAACTTGCATTGTTACCTCCGGCGGGAGGTGGCCTGCTACCCACCTGAAGCGGCTGGCGTCACTGGTTATATGGCACTTTTCGAATTCTAACTCGACCAGCGTGAACCAGAGTTCTGGATCGGCAGGCGTGAATGCCGGTATGTGCAGCGTGATCGCCCTAACGGTGGGGTCTGAGCAGGGTTTCCGTTCAGCAGACATATCGATTACTTTATCGAATACAGACGGGTAAAGAAATCAACTACCAATGGGGCACTATAATCTTCAGGGAAAAAAATCACGACGAACTAGACACCAAAAATATGTATGGACAGAAAAATTGGTTGGTAAACCGACCAAAAATATCAATAGATAGGGAAACAATAAAACGGTAGAAAACAAGGAAACTCACGTGACCTGGGGACCACGTCGGGCTCATCAGTTGTAAGGTTGGTTAGACCTTACCTCGCGGTTTCCTCAGTAAACGCGTGCTTCGGTTATGTTAATCAGAACAGTATTCTCCACGACCCGTGAGAACGAGATGGCGATTGGGAGAGATAGTGGTTAGCGTGTAAGAGCAACGGTCAAATGGCAACCGCGCTTGGCAGTCAGCGTTCAGTTAAACAATAAACGTGGTAAAAGTATGGACGAAGTTGGCCACCGCTACAGTTCACCTTCTTCCCCAAGACATCTCTCACTGCAATTGGCGCCGCTTTAACTGGATTGATCCCCTGTTGTTTGTGCTTCACGTCGCATCACAAGAGCTGTAAAAGTCTTTATCCAAATCAGTATTTATCTGTCTATTTGCCTGTCACACGATTTCTCAATTATCTATTTAAACACAAGTTCACCATTATTTCTCGATCACGGAGCACTCTGTTTCATTTACTATTCTCACAAATGCCTACACAAATCCACTGCAACAAAGGTTCGGTGAAATTGTGTGTGACAGTTGCTGCATTTGATGATTATATGATGAAACGACAGTCAACATAACGGAGGTTAGCGAATTCTACAATTGCATTTTGCATTCATAAACACCTAGTCACGTGATGAATGTAATTCTAATTGCCCACTTGTGCAGCAACCACAGTGGACCTATGGATTTCACCCGTGAAATCTAGCGGGACTAATCGAGTGACGCGTGAAACCTGAATCGTCAGCTGCTGAGAACGAGATTATCTGATGATGCAGTACTATTAAATGAATCACATTATTGAGCAAAATATACAAGCCCCGAACTGTGAGGTGTCCGGGCATTATTGTATGCACCGTCAGGGCTCAATCGACGTAATTGCGCGTCCTCTGGTAACTGACACGAAAATCAGTACATACGAAAAAGGGGTGTAAGACAGCTGTGTCCAAATGTACTGAGCAGCTTTTGCTGTGTCAAAAACGCCAGTGAACCTGGTCACCAGCAATCACAAAACTGAATTTTTATGAGGTTAGCATGTGATGCATGTGCAGAGGACAGAGGTGACTGTGGTTCCCCACTCAAGAAGAGAGCCAATCAGACGAGAGAAGTCGGGGCGTATACAAAGCGAACGAGACCGGGAGCAGTATACGTAGGCCGACCGGCAAGGTGTATGTATGTATTTGTGTGTGTGTTTGTGTGTGTGTATGTGTGTGTGTCTGTGTGTAGGTGTGTGTGTGGTCGGATTAGGCGTACCGGCAAGCGGTTCCAGGTCAAGATGAACAGCCTAATGAATGAACGTCGATAATCGGGGATGAAAAACGAATATCAACGGGCAGTAAATCCAAATCGTGACAAAGATAATGAGAAGAAATTGTGAATCTGGGAGTAGATTTAGCGGGAACCGTATCATCTAATTCGTGATTCTCATTTATACTTTGGGCCTATATTCCACGCAGCTAGACGGTGTTTGCCGCCTAGCTCGACAGTGCGCTTATGGTTGGAAACGCGTTGCTGTCATTTATTGCCCAAATGTATAAACTTTTTTTGCAACGATGGCTTAAGGTCAATCTATCTGGAATCCTCACTAAATGGTGGGTGCATACACAACTCATGATGATTCTAGCGTCAAATACTATTCAGATTTATTCGGAGCCAAGGTTAAGCAACTTGTTTGCAAACTGACGGGGTTAAAGTGTCGTACGGGTTTGTGGAACACCACAGATATTCTCTGTGAGAAAGTATTGAGGACTTAAAGTGAAATAACCGGATTGATTGAAATAAAATCAGAAGTCACACTAGCTGGCGCTGAAATGTATTGTTCTTCAACATATAAAATGCGGCAGCTTTAAAGGCGTGAGATAAGGAAGGGAACGCATTCATACACAAGTATTGATCCATCCGTAAAGTGATTGGTGGACACACACTTGCCGGGCGCTTTCACGTGATATGGAAGTAGACCGTGTGCGCGAGATAAGCCTTCTGCGATAATCAATGCACATGGTTGAACTGAGGTGAGTCCTACGCGCATAGCGCGTTTGTTCCTGTGCAGAAATGCATAGACGCTGGTTGGAATGTAGATCGAACGAGTGAAAACTGATTCATCCAAATTGGTTTCCTCGAAATGCATGTGCATAGGACGATAATTCTTGAAATGCGCAAACCTTTAATAAACATCGTACCGGTTCAACTGGATACATGATTAAGGGTGTGAACGAATGGTTTCATAATGGAAAAACATCAATAGGTGAGTAATTCGGTGATCGAGAAGCTGCTTGGAAGAAACCAGGGAGGATGGAAAAACAAAGTAAAAGACTGGATCCCGGCAAACCATCTATCAACTTTCGGGCATAGAACGGTAAACTCCACTAGTAGGATGCACCAAACATAACAGACTGAAACAAAATTCCTCGTGCTCAGTTTGACTTGATTGCGAAAGTGCTGGATAGAACAGTCTGGTAGAATGGGTATCATTGAAGGAACTGGTAAATTCGGAATATCATTCCGAATCCATCTGAATGCATTATACGTGTGAGTACGGTTTCCATGGTATAGCCGGCCAGATTGTCAACGAGCAGAGAAGACGAATTCAACATTCACCGAATAATTTTGACCGGCTTCTCAACCGACCTTCCTCCCAACACCACGGGGTTACCAACCCTCCTGATTAAAGAGACGAAAGATGCCAGCCGCGGTCACAAAGAATGACAAAGGACGTCAGGATCGCCAAACAGCTACGAAACAGGACAGCTTTTGAGGAGAACAGCATCCAACATATTTGCTTCACTGGTCGGTAGGATGCTCCTGATGATTCACTCTATGAGTAGGCTGGGATTAGGGTGCTTCTATGCAGTTTACTATTGACAAGAATGGAGCGAGTGAGAAAATCGGTGGTTCAGTCGATTTGCCCTAGATGGAAAAATTGTCTGCCATCTACTACTCAGTGCAAAGAGGCTGACATAATCGATCTATCCAGGTGTTTTTTCAAAAAGTAACTACTGGAAGACCACAACATAATCCACCAGACAAAAGTAGCTTGTTTCATCGATTTTCTATTCACCTTGAACCGGGAAATGGCGGAAGTCCATGTTGTACATCGGAATACAAAATATAACTTTCCAGATACAAAATTGGACACAGAAGTCACTAGCATTGAGAAACAGCATTAGCTTGCACGATGTATTCCGGACCATTTCGCTGCATCTTCATCAGTACATACTGCAGTCAAGGTGGCCATTTATAAATAAAAATTCAACGTTCTCATGAGACGAAAGCCCAGCTGAGCTGAACTGTGCCCACATCAGACCTGGAAATTTGAGGTCGATTTTGATGTGTTCGGAAATGCACCCAACAAACTTTAGTTATTTCTCAACCGACTCGTTTTCCTTGCAGACACCGTTATTCTTGAAGTTATTTCAACGAAAACGTAGATATTAAAGTGTTAGAACCAGGATGTGTTCGGAGTATAACGAAAGATCGATGCTCCATGTGAAATGGTATGGTAAAATTGTATTGTACAATAATATAGCGCAGTCGAGATCGTTGATAGGTTGTCGACGTTTCGGTCACCATAGGCAACCTTTTTCAAGTCTGGTTTTATGGGCGTAGGTCCAGTCTTGGAAGAAGGCACCCGTGGTGATCGAAACGTCGACAACCGACCGTCGATTTGGAGTACGCTTCTGTAATAAACAATAAAATTTAACCAAAACGAAGACATGTTCGACTCGCTGTGAGGCCGTCAATTCAAACGTTGTTCAACAGTGGCCAAACAATTGAGTATATCAGATCATTTGAGTATCTGGGTATAACTGTACTTCCTAATGGCCAGGCGGTAGATGAACGCTATCCAAGATTGACAAAGCAGCAAACTTGTTTGTTCCGACTGCACGTGTACTGTGTACGCGGAGAGAAATCAGCTTCGGAACCAAGATATACGTCTTCGGTGTCGTTGTCTGGCCGGTGCTTACAAGCGGGTTTGAAAGTTTGCAACAGGAAGCTGAGGATCAGCAGTATCCAGCTGTTGTTTGCGCCAAATTAATCGTGCAATCTGACAAGAAAGGTGTAAGAGAGATGAAACGAAACTGACAGACTATCCGTTCTTCCTCACCATGGTTGTCTGCAGTGGTTCGGACATATACTCCGGCCACCCGACATGGAACTGTTCAGAATAATCCTTTGACCTTCGTCATGTACGAGATAGTTCTATCGCCTTGTGGTCAACTGAAAACGCATTTAGGTATCGAAAGCAACCCTATGGAGCATGTAGGACAGCAGGGGGATACGAATAACGAAACTAGAAAAACCGGGTCACTGTTTTCACTGAACGCGCGTCCAATCACCGCGTATTGTTGACAATGATCCCCAGTATCCATGGGGCTGACGTATTCTGTTTCAGAACAAGGTCGTGCAAAAGTGAAATGAACCCAGCATGACCTTTAACCGTTTGCATACATGCTAAGCTGGTGTACTTTGGACTTTGTTTCCCTCAGTCCGACTAACAGGGAGTTATCGAAGGGCAAAGATAAACTAATTGGTACTGTGTTCACCTCAAATACCCAAACTTGTTTCATTTTATTCCTGAAAGAGGATTTATTGTCAAAATAAAATCATCCTTATGCCCAAACAATTTGCTTACGAGGATATAATACTACTTCACTGCAAGGAGGCAGTGGACCAAAATAAGAAAACACAACTCCGAAGACTCATACAGCAACTGTGGAGTGCTCCGAAGGGGCACTCCTTCTCTAGAAATATTTTCAAATTCAATTAGTGATACGTCTGCACATCCCTTGCTCGTGATTTGAAGTATTCAGTTCATGTCAACCTGTGTCGTATTTATTGCTATTATTCTAACTTCAATATATTTAGGGGAAGAGAAGTGAATTTCCGAATAACTTTCCATCCATATGGTTTCAAAGTGAACTCGCAAATTGCCCATAGATTAGTTCTGCTGGTTCATGTGCATCATTCTACGAGGACAATGTGATCATTTGTAATAGTTCCATTTATAGACTCGACTTCTTCAAGTACCCCACACTGACAATAGAAAACAACTTCTGGCGGGATAAGTAGATCCATTTGGTTTGTAAAACTGAAATTTAACTTCCGAGGCTTGTAGATAACCAGCATCATATTGCAAGATCTAGTCTATCAACATATACCTATTAGTGTGCCCTCCATTTGTCATTCTATTTCTCTCCTGCCACACACCCTCACCTTGAAAACGTTTATTCGAAACACTTATCGAGTTGTCTAATATCAACGAGTCATGATTCCCTAACCATCGTCAAAGAAAGGATGGATAATCCTGTTGGAATTGTGTCTATAGATTTGTTCCAAGGTACCATTGGATATTACACGCCAGTTGCACATCAGTTCTTCTTCCTACGATTCTCGCACAGAAATTGCTTCAATTGCCGACCAGTCGTCAATTGCAATAAAACTGAAAAGAACTAGCCTGGTTTATCCTTAGCTTGCATTTCAGCAAAGAATTACACTGGATTCTGTTCTATTCTTTTTCTCATTCGTGTTTTCTGTGGAATCAGAATAAGGCGGTCATTTGAGTTATTGTTTGTTTACAGGGAAGTATACACATGAGCTTTCAAAAGTTATACAAATACAAATACGAGCCCCAACCAGCATGGGTGAAGATCGGGACAATTAAATCAATAAACAGCACAGTCTTTTCAAAACCCAGACTTGACTGGTCACACGTTATGAGGTCTGAGGCCGCCCGTTCCTGCCGAAGTGAAGTCGTATCCTGGCAACAAAGAACCACGATCATGGTAAATGTGATCAAGGTTTGTACTGACGAAGATTCAAAAGTCATGTACACTGTTTCTCATCGAAAACAATCAAGGGCAAATTATACTGTGAACAAGAGAAAACGGCGAATCCTATTCTGCGGTGGTGACCAGGAGTTATTCCTAATCAGTGGCCAATGAGAAAGGTATGTAATTTACATGATGACACCTATGAAAATTCAATTGGAAATTTTCAAAAAACACCATGACCCTCGCCAACGGAATATTTCAAAATATTTCTCTAAATCCGGAACTCAGTCTGTGTTAACTGACTACTGTTGCCACAGAAATGACCGTTTATGAAATTTTCCAGTCCTGTGCCGTGATTGCGCACTGCGGCAAAATACCTGCTCATTATCTAGCTTCATGCAAATCCCCGCATCACATTGTATCCTCTTGTTCATGCATACACGCAAAGCTAACCTCATTTATCCTACTCACGAGCAGTGAGTATTTGCTAGTGCGAGCCCTGACCATCTTCAAGCCTCAAAGTGGAAGGCAAGCCAAGAATTGTTCCATTATCCATGAACCTTTAAACTCCCTTGCGTTCGAAAGAAAGAAAGAACACCAAAGACCGAGACTTTTTTCCTGGTTTGGACGTAATGACCCCTTTAACTATCCCCACTGATTTAAACGTACTATTCTTGAAACGGTAGTTGGGTTTCTTAGCATTGCTCGCGTGACATATCGTAAGTTACACATGTTGAAATCGATGAGTTGCAGCTGCTACAAATTCTTTGAGAAATAGACTCCAAGTCATGCATATTACATCAGCTCACCGCGTAAAATGTGTTGTCTTTGGAGGGCACACCATCGGAACGATGAATGTTACATAGATTCTTGTCAGGTCACGGAGATTTTCTATATGAAGATAGCCAGAGAAGCATCAAGAGGATAAATGTAAAGATAACATAGTCATTTTGCATCCTTTTTCAAACTTGGACTAAAATAGTGATGGATGCAGCAGTTATTCCATATTATACAACTTCTGGATCCTTTCTATAGGACTTTATTAAGCACAACGACAGTTGCATTTAGCGAAATCACAATCATCAGTATTTTCATGATCAATGTAGATTTGAGCTTTCTGAATCCTATTCACCCTTTTGGTATCTTAAAGTTTGAGCAGTCGACATGTACACTATTTATCATACAACTACTCTGTATTTATATGGGACCTTTTCAATGATGCTCGTTTTAGTAATACGCCAGAAACTTACCCAATAGTCCTGTTCGATTTACTAGTCGGGCACATTGTACCATTGTGCCTTTGTTATGGAACACCGCCTTACTGTCACTCGTGGAAGTTTCGTTCCACAAAAAAAGGGGCACATTCAGGCACCATGATCTAATCGCGGTTTCATGTGATTGGCTATTTGTAGAAAACAAGCAGATGCAATCATTGGAAATTCAAGTGAAGGAAGTTGCATGATTCCAGGTTATGGATCCCGACACAACAGCTAACCGAATTATTTCACCATCCGACATTTTACCGATGAACGATGCAAAACCTTCTGTCATTTTTGATCTTTTGGATGTGAATAACTCTGACGACCTTTCATCCCCAGAATTATTAGGCCTCCGTTAGCCATATGGAAGAAATAAATGCACGTTAGGAAAAACTGTGTTTTATAACAACACCGAAATTATGGTACTTTACATGAAGCTATGGTACCCAATTGTGCTATTGTAGAAGCCAGATGAGCGTAAGATAGTCAAACTTAACTAACATTACTAAGTTGACAAATTCGTTCATGGTAGAAATGAGTACTTTGTGGATGGAAGCGTCAGTACATTTTTGATTCACAGTATTGAGTTAATTAGAAATGAAATAACAGTTGAGCAAAAACAGAAATCCCGTTAATGTGAAGTATTTGTATCCACCGCTGTTCCGAGATTCCGTGGTTCTTCCTTGTTTTGAGGTTGTTTCTGGGAAGATCATTTTTAAGATAAGGTGAACATATGTGAAAATGCAAAACGGTGAGCATTTTGTAATACAACCATGCCAATCTAAAATGAAGATATGCAAACCTGCTAACTAACTATGTGAGTTAATATCATTTTCACTCACAATGAGAAGAATACAGCAATTATTAATATAAGTTTTATTTATTTACTTGCGGTTCCCCCAGTGAGTGTGTTGTGTTTTGGAGGGGATTCCTCTGTCCGTGTGGTCTTCTTACCAATATCTGTAATAAAAACAACATCTTACCTAATAATTTTCCCAAGTGATACAATTTCATGCATTTCTCAGGATTGCCGGGAAATAAACAAATAAAAATACAACAGGAAATTTAGATTTATTGAGCTTCTGTGAATGACTCATGCGTCATTCTTTTTCTTGAAGTCTGTAATACAAAAATGCTCGAGGGAATAGGAGTTAAAATCCTTTCGCATTTTAGGCGATAATTTCCTATGCATTACTTCTTGAAAATCAGATGGAATGCTGACCTACCATCGATCTTCATCTGGCATGAGATTTGTTCAAATTTACTGTGAGTCATGTCTGAATAATAAAGAAATGAGAGGAATTACTCGGGCAATTTTTTCATCAACAAGTTGTCATATTTCTAGAATCAACTTAAATTTGTGGTCGGATTGTTTAACAAATTGCATTTAGTGAATATGTCACTAACTCTAAAAACTGCCTTGGATCCAATTCCATGTGTGATGGCGCATGCAGGCTTGACTCTTACGGACATTATATACGTATCCAATGCGCTCCTTCAAGTTGGGCCACTTCAGAATGAAACCTTGGTAAACAAAGGACTACACGTCTATGGTTATTTATCAGCTTGACGAGACTAAGTAAAACTTGCTTACTTGAAAAACCTTTGGTTGTGTTGAAGTCCGCACTGCATTGCAAAAGAACGTCGAAGATTTTCTGTATTTGTTCTATTCCTCCGGGCATATATTCCATTACATGGTACAGAAGATCATACCACCTCGGACAGCCAGACCAATAAGTGAGCAACCGTGTGTTATTTTGTAATTCTGCCGACGATTTGTGAAAGCAATTGTTCAGCTTTCGGGGTTAGAAGACAGTGATATACAGAAATGGATGTACGCGAACGATTAATTTTTACTGTTGAACGCAAGTTATCAATACGAACATTAACTTATCGGCTGAACTTTATTTTGATGCTCAAATAGAAATCTGCTTCAAATTTGAAAATTTTCAGAGAATATTAAATCACACAAATATTGTTCTTGTACAAACAGCAATAAACAAATAAATAAATGTTGAAATACATATATCCCGCAGAAACTGCTACTCATACAATATATGCTTGAATTGCGATCCATTAGAGCCGTGATCTTCGTGTAAGATTGGTATTCGAATTATCGAAGTTTAATGCGAATAGCTCTGTATCCTGTTCCCATGTGTGAACTGTATGAGCTACTACCAAAAATCACTGTTCTCAACGCAAGCAGAACATTGGTGAACTCGAGATAATGGGACACAATTGCACGTATCACTTTTGCTCACTTTCAACCGAGTACGGTATCTGTACCTTGTATCTTCTTCAGTTTTGCATACTTCGAATTTCATTTGTTCGTCAGATTTTTGTTTCAAATGTCCTCTGAAAACTGCGGAATATGTTTTGCTATATGATTGTAAGTGAATACTTGACAATATGAATAATATTGGTCGATTTAACCCAAACAACTCACCGGTGACATTGTGCTTGACTGATGCATCTGTGAAAGCAGGTGTAACATGCATTTTTCCATTTTTGTAGGACAAAACTTAACGGATAAACAACCGGAGATTGATTGAATTAAAAATGTCATGAATCGGTTACATGCCATGAGAGTATCTCGCTAACTAGTTACATGGAAGACCTCTCACGTATCGAAGTAGCAAGTAGTTAAGTTAAATAACCGAAAAATAACCTGGGAATTGAACAAGTGATAACAAATCTATTAATTTCTTAAATATGGTAAATCGGTTTACCGGTAATTTTGATTATCTCAGTATCCATCACGCCAAATTGCCTCAGAATGCCTTGTATTATTCCACTTAACCACGTAATAAGAGTAATTTTGCACTCATTATTGGCATTTTGGCCAATGTCAGGTGAGAAAAAATATATACTAGCTGTATCATTCCAAGAAGTCTTGAATGTATCGTCACATCCAATGTAATTATACCAATCTTGTTTCATTGCTGCCATAATAATATTCATCTTGGAAAAAAGGATTCATGAGAAACTGATGATAATTTGTTATTTGGTAGATAAACAATTCGCACGTGAATTGAAAAGTCACTGACCATCTGGCAAATTGAAGTGTACATTGTTTCTTTACTAATTCTGTGTGAATGTTTCCCGTCTAATCCATATTTTGGTACAGAATATTCATTTGATAATCTGAATTACCAGATGATGAAAATGTTGGCTACTTGACAGTACGCGATTAGTTAGGCTTTCAAAGATACAAGACAACAATGCCAACTTGATCACAGTGAGAACAATGCCAGAATAATGAATTGCGTTCAGAATCACTGCAGATGGACTTCGTGTTGAGACTCACTGATTACGTCACCAACGTGAACTTCTATGCAATGGGAAAATGGCAAATTTGTGATATGAATTCAAGAGAAGGATGTCGTGCTCAAACAGTACACGTCGGAAACTAGACTAACCAATCCAATCTGGTAGATCTGCCCCAGTTGCATAGAACAGGTAGACAACGAAACAAATCCGCATAACTAAGAGCATGCCCGATTAAATGCGTTATCGAACTGATATATGCAATGGTTCATGCACAAATCGTGTAAATGGCTGGATGCGCCAACGCATATATGTATCTAAAACGATTCTGTTTCACGCAGTCCACGAGCACATAAGCCAACTGCATCCATCAGTGCATCCATAGGAATGTGGCCATCGCACCACTCACATGGGTCAATGTGAACCCATACACTCACTCAGAAACCTTGATAACCGGCGTTACCTTGCTCAGTTGATGCAGAACATCTGTAAAATAAATCAATAATTAATACACTCAGTCCACTGGCTGGTAGCTCTAGAAAGAATGCTCGTTGGCTCATATGCGTGATAAAGCATTTGGTTTTTACGATCCCATTGAACGGCAACAAATAAGATAGATTTTTGCTTTCAGACTCGATGCACCACATTCATTGTTTCCTTGCTCATGAATCTATCGCAAAGAATACATCATTTTGGTTCAAAAATGTGTATGAAAAATGAAGTAGGTAGTTTAGGAGTTGGGCATTACTGAACTCAGCTACAGGGATCATGCAGCCCACAGCGACTTATTAAAATGATTCAGTCCTATTCAGACATTGGCTGCATTGTATGACTAAGGTATTTTAGGAGTCACACATCTGATAGACATCTCCCATCCACCAACAGTTCCAATGCACATCTTATCCCTCACTCTAGTAATTAAATACAGTTGATCGCCAGAACGCGTGCAATAATATTGTACTTCATGCAATCCGGTCACTACGCTCTCTTGGGAAATGCATGCTCGTGAACCAGGGAATCGGAAAGGTGAACCTACCGATAACATTTTGGAAACTTTCAGGGTGAAAAAACAGAGATCATGGGACCGTAAAGGATGAACTGTTCCGACTGGTCGATGTTTTGAATATCCGTCCTACCAAAGCGACTTAAATCCTGTCGAACTCGAATGTGATCATTCTACTTTTTAGATTACCTGCCTGAAATGAATTGAAGCAACATCGGAGAGGATAAAACTCGCAACACGATTAAGGTGGAACATTTTCCTATTAAATCAGACGAGAATTTAATTTACTGTCAATGCAAACACAAAATACCCTTATCACAACGAGGCAAGTTCTGTTATATTTATAACCTCATTTCTCTTAGCGTACATATGTGCATGAAGGCATGCGAACCATATTCTTATGATTGCATGTTTCTGCGATATATTCTTCAGTTAGGATCTTGGAAATTAAATACAAAAGCACAACACCCACGAGGATATCGATCTACTGCACGATATCAGACGGTTGAATGTCACGTTTCGTGTTCGGTTAGCTGCCACTCAATACCCACTGCTTCAATGAACTGATTGTTATTTTCACTAACCCTTCGGCATCAACCCAAAATATTCCAGTGTCCATCACCATTACTTAACATCAGGTAGACCGACTTGTTTACGGTGCTTCGAACCCCCTTGTCAAGCAAGTCATTGCAAGTGCTCATGTTTACTTGTTATACTGACGGGATTAGAGATAATATTCGGTCACATGTCTCGATGCACTAAGCTTTGAACCTGGTTAATGGTTGATTTGTGGTTGGACAGAACATCCAACAAAACGAACTTTTATCCTATCCTCTCAGAGGACTCAAGTCGATAAAATCCCGAGGCAGTTGACTCCTACTTTCTCTTTGCATGGCTGATATGAGGGACATTTTTTCTAGTCAGGCATATAACAACCTGTGTATCACACATCTCTGAAATGTCCTCAGTCATGTGAGCTGATTATGCAGGTTCGTATCAAACTAAGTTATTAGCCTTGTATTATTCAAACGACTGATTTGTTTCATACCTTCACTGTAAGATATCTACCAGTGAATAGTTCTCGTGTAATCCATGGAAGAAGAACTGAGTTGTCCATGAAAGGGGCCCACCTCTGGGTTGTTGTGCTTCCAGAAAACTAAAGTAAAATTCGCCTGAATTCAATATTTTAGCTGGAACTTTATACGTGCTGATCAGGTTAACACCCAGCATAATGTAGCGGGGATGCTCAAAACAACAGGACGATGTAAATATCAAACCGATCAGACCAACCGATCGAGAGCGACAGACCGAGCAACAGGCTATGAATATGTCGGACAAATATTGAATCAGACAATTAGGGGTCATATGGACTCTTAGATAGGAAGTAGCGAGATCTCGGGCAACCAACAAGATAACCCATGCGAAGAGCTACCGACTAAGCTGTCAACCGAGACAATTACACAAGCCGAACAGATGGAGCACAGAAAAATCAAGCTAATGGCTGCAGGCAACTGACCAGCACGCAACCGATATACTCAAACAGCAGGAAGATCAACGCACCTGTAGCGCGGTCTGGAAAGAGGGCCATAAAAGCGGTCGTACCTGCTACACGAACTTAACTTATTTGGCTGTCCAAATACAAATCTACTTATCCGTCTTACCATATTCGGTACATTGGTGTCGTGACCACACTCACACTCGCACTGAAGCTTCTTTGACTCTTTCCGATCGCGGATGGAGATGCAAAGGCGCGGATCTTTGATTTTGAAAGGATAGCGGAATGTAACAGAGATACCAGGAAGAACAGAAAGAATTTTTTTAACTAGTTCTTGCTGAACGCCATTTTGTTTACGTAAAGACCAGCTAGCTATAGATGATTCTGTGAACCAATTTAATATACACACAGCCTTGGGAATTTTCCGAACTGTAATATGCTTTCGAAGTTTGGATGAGTTTCTGCAATTCACCTGATGATCGGAATGACGTGACACAAGATCAAAACTGAGACGTCTGCTAAACTCAATTGGCGACTAATCTAGTACACCGACGGAGCAAAGGCTTGACATCAACACTTTAATAGACTGATGCCATGTCGTGGCTTGACTTCTGCCTTCTCGTTTCTAGTCAACCGAAGGCTCGGCTGAAGCGTCAGCATGGGGAATTCAATGAAGTAGCATACTTATAACATGCCTCAACCGACGAAGCCGGTGGAGTCATACTGCTGTGCTAACTGGGCAGGCGGCATGATCGATTCCATAGACGCGCGCTTGAACATTGAAATTGCTTTTTCGCTGTTGCCACCAAACGCGCGAGATTACCCTCGGATAAGGGTGATCAAACATGGAAAACCTGACGACATCAGCTTCTCGAACAGACCAGGTCCTACAAGGGTCTGGGAATACAGTACCTACAGCATCTAATACACCCTACCTCTCAATCGGAGGTGGATGGTACAAGGTCTCCACAGATAACGCAAATCGCAGTGCGCCGTTTGAGCCTTTGGCTATCACGTTGTTCACATCGTCTCCAACCCTCCAGTCTGCAGTTATAGAGCTTACCTAGTAGACAGACGTTCCTACGAATTTATCGATGGTACTGAGTGTCAGAATGCTGTGGAAGCACTTTAGACTTGTGAAGTGACTAGCACATACAGTCATCTCAAGGTTGTCTAGAATGCACTGTGCCTTAGTAGCATGATTTCAAATCAAAGCGATGTCATTTGCATAGGCTCAGTCTGAAAAAAACACCGGAAAGAAAATCAAGACCTTCGATCGTCTGATTTCCTGACTTCCTTCTTACGATGTTGTAAATCATCAAATTGTACTGGAAGGGTGAGAGTAGACAACCCTGACGCACGCCTCTTCCAACTAGAAAGTGAGTCGGCGATGAACCATGTGCTTGTACTCTGCCGATAGCCTGATGATTTAGAGCTTCAGGGATTATTGACGCCAACAGCTTTGACGCGACCGAGATCAACCTCGTCCCTTGACTGCAACAGCCTACATTTCTAGCACTTCTCTTGCAGAAAAGGATGACGGACGCACAATTAAACCTTATTGGACTGTCCGTGGGGCGTGAACTGATTCAAACGGACTACTGACTTGAGACGCTACCGCTGAAAGCCAGTAAACTGCTCCTCGAAGTGCATTTCCCATCGATACACGCGCCGTAAAGGCTGGTGTATTGATTGCTCGTTAAACTTGAAGATCATTTCGCTCATGCCAGGCATGTTGGTT